TGTTAGTAGGGCTACTCAGTGATGTTAGTAGGACTACTCAGTGATGTTAGTAGGACTACTCAGTGATGTTCGTAGGGCTACTCAGTGATGTTAGTAGGGCTACTCAGTGATGTTAGTAGGGCTACTCAGTAATGTTAGTAGGGCTACTCTGATATTAGTAGGACTACTCAGTGATGTTAGTAGGACTACTCAGTGATGTTAGTAGGGCTACTCAGTGATGTTAGTAGGACTACTCAGTGATGTTAGTAGGGCTACTCAGTGATGTTAGTAGGACTACTCAGTGATGTTAGTAGGACTACTCAGTGATGTTAGTAGGACTACTCAGTGATGTTAGTAGGACTACTCAGTGATGTTAGTAGGGCCACTCAGTGATGTTAGGACTACTCAGTGATGTTAGTAGGACTACTCAGTGATGTTAGTAGGGCTACTCAGTGATGTTAGTAGGGCCACTCAGTGATGTTAGTAGGGCTACTCAGTGATGTTAGTAGGACTACTCAGTGATGTTAGTAGGACTACTCAGTGATGTTAGTAGGGCCACTCAGTGATGTTAGTAGGACTACTCAGTGATGTTAGTAGGACTACTCAGTGATGTTAGTAGGGCTACTCAGTGATGTTAGTAGGGCCACTCAGTGATGTTAGTAGGGCTACTCAGTGATGTTAGTAGGACTACTCAGTGATGTTAGTAGGACTACTCAGTGATGTTAGTAGGACTACTCAGTGATGATAGTAGGACTACTCAGTGATGTTAGTAGGACTACTCAGTGATGTTAGTAGGACTACTCAGTGAAGTTAGTAGGACTACTCAGTGATGTTAGTAGGGCTACTCAGTGATGTTAGTAGGACTACTCAGTGATGTTAGTAGGACTACTCAGTGATGTTAGTAGGACTACTCAGTGATGTTAGTAGGACTACTCAGTGATGTTAGTAGGACTACTCAGTGATGTTTTGTAAGTGTTCTACTGCCTTTTTGTTATAGAGGAACTGTGGAAGTTGTTTAGTCTTCCGGAAGTTCTCTGACATCGATGTTGTTTCTCCAGACAATACTGTGTGCTCGTGCTAGTGGTATTTTGCACTTCCTTATAAATAGAATGTACCATGAATCAGCCCCAGGTGCTGCGTGTGTCACCATGGTTGTACGTAAATGGTAGACAGTACCGACAAAATAGAGGATTAGACACATCTAGGTATTTTTATTTGTAAACGCTTCGCTATGCAGTAGTAGTATCAATACAAATTCAGGGACATAATGGGAAGTCTGTAGAACTATGTTCAGAAGACGAGGTGGTCAGTCCCTCAGGGACTCACCACCTCAAATACTTTTTCTCCAAGACTGATGGACTGTTTACGTCTTTATTTCATTACTATTGCTTCCCCTTGTATTTGACTGAAGAATTCTACTGAGTAGGTGAAACATGTCAACAGTAAAGATACTTGTCGGTATTTTATACTATTCTCAACAATATTGTTCATTTGTGTTCTGTTCAGCATGAAAGCTTTACACTTCAGTATGGGTGATCTCTGTTCTTCGGTAAGTTCTTCTGTGTTCTCTGTCTGTGGATGATAAATATCCTGGTGCGTCCTGGACTAAGATCACCAGTTGTCTCCTATTGTCTGCCACACACCTTCACATCCTCCAGTACTCTACTGTCTGCCACACACCTTCACATGCTCCAGTACTCTACTGTCTGCCACACACCTTCACATCCTCCAGTACTCTACTGTCTGCCACACACCTTCACATGCTCCAGTACTCTACTGTCTGCCACACACCTTCACATGCTCCAGTACTCTACTGTCTGCCACACACCTTCACATCCTCCAGTACTGTACTGTCTGCCACACACCTTCACATCCTCCAGTACTCTACTGTCTGCCACACACCTTCACATGCTCCAGTACTCTACTGTCTGCCACACACCTTCACATCCTCCAGTACCTACTGTCTGCCAACACCTCACATGCCCGACTTACTGTCTCCCACACCCTTCAAGCTCCAGTATCTACGTTCCCAAACCCACCTTCCTGTCCGTATTTACTTTTTGCCACACACCTTCAATGCCCAGTACTGTACTGTCGCCCACCCTTCACATGCCCCATACTCTACTGTCCCCCACACCCCTTCACACCTCCAGTACTGAAAAGTCTCCCAACCCCTTAAAAGCTCCAGTAAAATTCGTCTGCCACACCCCTTCCATGCTCCAGTACTTTACTGTCTCCCAAAACCCTTCAATGCTCCAGTACTCTACTGTCGCCAACACACCTTCACATCCCCCCAACTGACTGTCCCCACACCCTTCACACCTCCAGACGTACGTCTGCCACACCCTTCACATCCTCCAGTACGTACGCTCCACACACCTTCACATCCTCCAGACTGTACTTTTGCACACCCCTTTCACATCCCCCAGACTGACTGTTGCCCCACACCTTCACATCCTCCGTACTGTACTGCTGCCACACACCTTTCACATCCCCCGTACCTACTGTCGCCACACCCCTT